TGATAATTAAGCTAAAGCTAAAAAGGAGATTTGTCTCAAGAGCTAAATCTATCAAAGAAGGAAAGCTCTTAAAAGAATGAACATTCAGGGCTAGCAAGCTGGTTAAACAAGTGAGGGTTTGTGCTGCCAAACCTGATGACCTGAGTTTGATACCTGGATCCCACATAGTAGAAGAGCCAACTCCTACAAGTTACCTTCTGACTTCCACATGCTAGCCCTGACATGCATACTCACACACATACCAACAAACACACATTAAATAAAGAAATGTAAAAAAAAATTTTAATAGAACGGACATTCTCATCTTCCCTTCTCCCCCCCCCACCCCCAACCATAAAAAGATCCCAAAGACATAAGAATCATAAAGATTTTAAATAGGCAATACTTTTCATAAAGAGACTCATGTAGAGAATACATAATTTGACTTTTCCAGTGTATCTCTGTTTGAAAATGTACCTGGTTGTAACCATGGAAGCAAATGTCCTAAATTCCTTTGTCTTACAGACATTTTTTAATAACAAAGCAAGCAAGAAAACTCTAAAGGTCTTTTGCAATGCTTACTGGTCTCCATCCTTGTATTTGTGTGTGTTTCCAGCATATACATTTGCAGATTCCACCCAATCTAGGTCTACTTTAAAGTCAAGAACTTTACAGCAAGGGTGTGGTCTTGTAGAAGTACCTTATTTGAAAAATGTAACACTGTCTCAACTGGTCTCTTTTATAATGAAGTTACAGATTAAGAAAGCATGCCAGAAGTAAAAACCTGATGAAAGAAACCAAGACTCAAAATTGAGTCTTTCCAAGGTCAGGCACTAGAAATGAAAGAGCAAGACAGTGCCAGCCAGCCTGTGACTGAGACCCGTCTGTGGTCTGGTTTGGCTTTGTTTATTTTTGTTGTTTATTGTGTAATATCATACACAGGACTCTTATGCCCTTATTTTTCTTTAATTTTATACAAACCCATTGTAGTAGGCACTGATAGTCCTATTCTTAAGTGAAGAAACTGAAGCTTACAGAAGTAAATAGCTTGATCGATCAAGTCACATATTGTAGTTGAGACTTGAACTCAAGTTTGCTTAAGGACTCTGCCTGACTACTTTTTGGAAGGTCCATGTGTATGTGTGTGAACATGTATGCAGGCCAGAATTCAACCTTGGGTATTGTTCCTTAGGACAACGCTCCCTTGTGGTTTTGAGACAGGGTCTCTCACTGGGACCTGAGGCTCACTTACTAGGTTAGGTTGATGAGCTGGTTAGCCTCAGGATTCTCCTGTCTCCACTTCTCTAACACTACAATTGATAAGCATATGCTACCAGGCCCAGCTTTTTACATGGGGTCCTCAGGCTTGCATAGACAAGCATTTTATGGACTGAGCTACCTTCCTTGGCTTTGCTTTTTTAAAAAATATTTTTATTTTTTTAATGTGTATGAGTGTACTACCTGCCTGTATGTGAGTGCACCCGTGTCGTGCAATGCCTCGGAGGTCAGAAGAGGGCATTGGATTCCCCTAGAATTGGAGTTAAGGACTGTTCATAGCCGCCATGTGAGTGCTGGGAATCGAACTCAGGTCCTCTGCAAGAGCAGTCAGTACTCCTAACCGCTGAGCCATGTCTCCAACCCCCTAACTTTGCTTCTTTACCAACAGGCAGACCTGTGTACAGAAGACATTGTCTGTCTGGCCAAGGAGTATTTATTTAGGTCTATAGGAAATAAAGTGAAAGTATTCGATTTGTTTCAAGACCAATTGCTTTATATACGGTGACATTTCCAGCCTAAATTCTTTTGAAAAAATTAATTTTGTTATGCGTTCAGAAGGAAAGACTTTTTACAAAAATAGAATTTTAAATTATTAGTGAGCAAAAATGAGAATTTAAAGCTCTTGCCCCTATGGATGGTGGACAACTTGAGTTGGTAGTTTCAAGGGATACAGTAGTGCTGCATAATCCATTTGTTTTTTAGACTTCTAGGTTGCTCCATGGGAACCCTTCAACTCAGCTCATCCTCTCTGCTGCGTTTCCACTACAACAGAGCACTTTCCCTCCATCACATCACCAGCAGCACCAGTCTCAGCAACAGCAGCAACTTAGTCGGCATAGGACTGACAGTTTGACTGATCCTTCCAAGGTTCAACCACAGTAGCACACATGCTTCCTCTCTGATGCCTAGAAAGGACAAGGATGGCCGGTAAAGAGTTGCTCAGATGACTTGCAGTTTAGGAGGAAAAGTTCCAGCAGTTTCCTGAGTACTAGTATTGAGTATTCTAGTTCCTGGAGTAGTTGGTAGGGTAAATGCTATCCAGTGCTACAAATGTACATTAAATACCAGCCAGCCAGAGATGATCAGAGGGACATGGCCAATTCTGACAAGTGTTTCAGTTGCCTGGGTATTTTTTATGGAGAAAGAGTATATTGCCAAAAGTTAACAAGCTCAACTATCATATGACCTCTTCTGAATCAGAAAGTCACTAACAATGTTGGTAGCTTGGTGGTTCTATGCCTGGTATCAAGTGTTAACAGAGGACACATCACTGCCAGGTGTTTGCTTAGAGAGATACCATGAAGATAATCCAGTAGTTGGTAGTCCCCACCCCAAACCCTTCTGTTCAGATGATGGAACAGTAATTACTTTCAGAATGTTGTGTGGGTTTGAATTCTCTATGTACAGATGCTATATAAATGTGTATGTGACTGGATGAAGGAGAGAAAGCAAACTTTCTATATGCTGCATGAAAGCATTATCTATTCCTTACAGGTATGAGTACATTTCATTAGATTTTGGCACCATATACAAACTGGTAACAGCCTCTGTTTTTCCTTTTGTTTACAATGTAATAGTGTTCTCGTCATTTTTCCAGGGCACAAGTCTTTTTGTTCTTACTTTGGCTGTGATGTCACAGTTTGTTCAGTGAGGTATGATGTGCTGCTGGGAATGATTTTTTTGTTTTTCAGGTTAAATTATTGATACAAGATTTTCACGTTATTCAGAAATCCCTTATTTCATTATTTTTCAATTATGTTTGAAAATAGAATTGCACTGCTTTATTTTAGATGATTGGTTGGGAGCTTGAGCACATATTTTGATATATTTCACAATGGGAATATTTATGTAAATGGTTTTCAACAAGCCTAAAAGTGATTTCAAGAATGTTTCAGTTGTAAGAGTAAAATTTGCACTCAAGACATGTTAGGCACTTTTTAACATTCTCAGTGGTGGGAATTTTAACTTTAGGATTTGTTGGAATCTTTTTATTATCCTTTAAATTTCAATACTTCTTTTAGTCAGAAATGATTCAGGGTTATTTGAGGAGAATAAAACCCATAGTGCCTTGATTTTAATTCAGGTGATAACTCACCATCTTGAACTCATTGTCTGGCTTCAGTAGCAGTTTTGAAACCTTAGTACATTTTTAGCCGCATGTGGGTCACAGTGTCTCAGTGTCTCAAGTCCCTTTTAAGACTGCTGTAAGTCTTTGAACCACCCTAACACTATCACAGTTATTAATATGATCCCAAAATTGTTCCCAAATTAGTGTCTTCCTTTAAAGCTAAGTAGTCCTTTAAGAATTGATAGTAAAGGGCTTGAGAGATGGCTCAGTGGTTAAGAACACTGACTGCTCCTGCAGAAGGCCTGGGTTTGATCCCCAGCACCCACATGGCGGCTAACAACTGTCCTAACTCCAGGGGGTCCAACGCCCTCTTCTGACCTTCGCAGGTATTGCATGACACGGGTGCATTTATGTACATGCAGGCAATAGATGCATACACATTAAATTTTTTAAAATATTTTTTTAAAAAAAGAATTACCAGTAAATATTACTCAATATGGCCTTGATAGTCCTGTGAGAAAAGGAGTAGAAATTGGTTTACCTTCAGTGCAACACTAGACTATTGTAACTCACATGCTTCCTAAACATGAATTAAGATTTCATCTGGCAATAGCATACTCTATAGGTAATAAACTCCAACAAAGTTACATTTTAAAAAGCATTTTTTAGATTTTATGGTACTAATAATGAAATTTACAATTATAGAACAAAAGACAAATAGAAAATAAAACACTGAAGGGAGGACAAGAGTGATAAATCATAATTGACCTTAAAGTAAAATGTATAGCAGAGATGAGGTTGCTAAACAGAAAATTTTCACCAATGAAAATAATCTAATACAGATAATTGCTAGATAAGGGCTCAGGGGAATGCAAAGTCAGTTTTCTGTCCTGAGCTTTGGTCTCGTTCTTAAGCACTTTGTTTTCCTATTTAAAAACAAACTTTACCTGGCTGCAATTAAGTTAGCAAGTTAATGGTGGAAAAAAAAAAAAAAAAAACCAAAAAAAATTGGTACCTACCCTTCTACAAAAGTGTGGCTAGATACCAGTCAGTAACTGACATATAGCTAAATGATCATCCAGAGGAGATTCCTGACATTCCCACCCATACCAGTAGTTGTCTAAGTGTGCATATGCAAGCATTCACACACAAGACAAAGCAGATGTAAAGTACAGCAAGGGTATTGCTTCTCTTCCCTTCCAAACTGCCTTGACTTTATGCCATTCCATGTATAGCTGAGTTGTGCCTCATTTATTTATTGGCAATACCTAGTGATAAGGATTTAGCTAACAAGATATGATGTACACTATATTATGGCTTACCCTCTAAGTCTGTAGTTGAAAGGTTATGAGCCCTGTTCTTGGCAGAAGCAAAAGAAGGCAAGTCTCAAAGTGTATGTGCAAACTGCTCATTTGCCAATACTGCCCTCCCCATCAGGTATTTCTCATTTTCACAAATGATTTGGGAAAGAAAAAAAGTCCTTTCATCCTACTCAAAAATTAGCAGTTGATAAATTTAAAGGAGCAGCTAGCTGCTAACTTGCTGTCCATGTAGAGAGTTGTGCTGGCAGAGCTTGTCAGGACCAGCTGCCTCCACTTAGCCTTGGTTTTCTCCTGGCTCTGTTGAGTTTGGGTTGCAAACTGTTCTTATCAGCTCCCCTACAAGACTTGAGCATTCTGTTGAAGATTCATCAGTTGCCCGTTCATTTCTGTAGCCAAAGTTAACTAAAATCCCAAATCTCAATCATGAAAGATACCAAATAGATCACTTTACAGTTTCTTATAAATCTTAATTTCCCCCACTTTACTCATAGGGAATCGGGTTTTCATGAAAAACTTTTATTCTGAACAGCACTTTTTAGGTAAGAAACTGTTGAGGTAAAGGACAGATCTAGCTGCTCTGCAGGTCCCTTGCTCTGGGCTGCTATGGTAAAGGGTGAGTGTTGCTTCACAAGTCCAAATGAGAGCAGTAAGAACAAAGTTGCTGCTGAGTGGTGTCCACCCAGAACATTGAAAAGTACTCCATGTTTTTTGTCTTGTCTTTTTTGTTTTGTTTTTTTAATGGAAACTGTAGGAGGAAAAACAAATGTGGTGAGATCGCATGCCAACGAGTACTACAGGTCCATTCCTAAGCCCCATCCTAAATGTAGGGTCATTTTTAGAGCATTGTGCTTTGCTTTGTCACACGGATATGGTTAGGAATGTATACTAAAAGGATGACAGTGATCTTGAATAGCTTGTGGTAAAGGTGTTTGAACTGTGTGTTGTACTTGGTCATTGCCTTAAAGCAGTCTCGAAGTTAGTTGGGAGCACCAAAGCAGCCCAGCTGTGTAAAGGGCATTGTGTTGAGGGAGAGCCCTGGTTTCGAGAAGCCTTAGAAAGGGACCCTTAAAATAGTCTACACAGGTGGAGATTCTTTGCACTTGGATGTTACTCTATGTTTTAAAATGTTTTCATTACATTGAGGCAGACTTTTTGTTTCTTAAGTGGGATGCAGGTAGCATTTTTAGTATTTCTTTTATTTCTTTGGTGATTGAAAGTTTGTTGGTGAATATTTGTGTAAAATTCTTTAAAGCCTACCACCTTTCCAGTATCTGTGGCCCTGTTCTTACTACCACAGGAGTTGTGTTAGAAGGTATAAACACTGGATATTAATATAGCTGAATGCATATAACCAGGGGGTAAGTTGATTGGAACTTTCCAGTGGTGGAAAAGAAACAGCACAAAGACACTTGCCGTTTTAATAGTGACTGGAGAGACCTTTAAAGTTTGTCTGGATCGAGTGAACATTCTTCTAAGAGGAGCTTTCTGAAGTAATTGCAAAGGAAAAGAGTTGACTATTTTTATAGCATATTTAATATATTTGTATATAACTATGAGTATAGTAAGAACCCTCCACATGCCTCCCACTTTTCTAATTTCCTTCCCTTTGCCATAGCCCTAGTATAGCCTCATCCGCATGGGTAATGTGCCTATTGTCAGCCTACCAAAATAGTGCTGCTGCTTTTTGAGACAGGTGAGATCAGACTCTCATGCCAGGGGATCCTTTATGGGAGGAATAGCACACACTTCAAACAACATACCACAGTCTAAAAGCATCATTTTGAATGGTAACAAGCACTTTATTGCAATTATTCATTTAGATAAAGTTTGTATCTTAGGCATTAACCATTTCTAAAGGATCCCCCAATCATCACTTAGGTGAAATTATAAATGACACATTTCTAAGAAATGTCTAGATCCAGTGAACCGTAGCAGGTTTATGGGAGTGATTTCAAGGTAGCCAAATGAACTGACCTTTGTTTTGAATGTGGTAGAGTCAAGAGATCGTAAATGTGTAGTTCATGTAAACACTATTGTAAACCTATCTTGCCTATTGTGTGGACACCAAAAGAGACCAATGAGCCTGTTTATTTTCAGAGGTCTAGGATTATGCATCTGTGTGAGTAGATGTACAGAGCTAATCTAAAAAATGATGGGTAGAAATATTTTAGAATACAGCTATTTCAAGAATTATTGAGTGTTTTAAATGTGCCCTGAAATGTTGGCATGTCATTTCAGTGTTTCCATTTGAATTGCTCTTGTAATATTTTTGCACAAAACAGACTGAGAAAGACTGCTTTAGTTGAAGAAAAAGTATAATTTGGTCTTATTTTAATGTCTCCTGTGGAAACACTGGGGGTGAATTCTGTTGGTATAGTTACTAATTCAGGATATTTAAAAGTGTTGAACAGGTCACAAGAAATTAAACAAACTTGGATATTTAAAAATTAAAATTCTTTCTTTCCCTGTGACTGTTTCCATAGTTTTTTTTTTCCCATTACACTACATTCCTTGTTTTTCTTAAATACTTTGCAAGATCTGTTTCAATTATTTAACAAATATTTCTAAGCCACCTGGCTTTTCCCAGGAAAATGTACTTTAGTGAGTGAAATAGAGTATTGTAGTGAAATAGGATATGGTTTTATATGGTTTGTGACGAGACAAGTAAAATTCCATCACCACCACCAGCAAACACTGAGGTGCTGCATTAAATGACAATCAAAATCGTTATTTATAAAAGAGTTTAGAAATGGTTGAAACAAAGCAGTTCTCTGGGTTTCTTGAATAAAATTGCTAAGTGTATTTATATTTTAAGTATGTTTGCATTTTCTTAGTAATGTGGTATCCTGTATTTACTTTGTGGTTTGTTCTGTTCTGCATCATCTTGTCCTTGGAGAACTAGCTCTCCTTTGGGGTGGCTACTAGTCCCTCTGACGACTCTCCTGACAGATCATCCGAATCCAGTTCACATCAGGATGGCAGTACAGGGTCAATGTAGAGTCCCTGCACTTAATTAAGAAAAAAAATTTAAATGAACTCTTTTAGCTGTTTCCTGTACCCCAGCCTTTTTCTAGTTTCACTTGCTGCCTTCTCGTTTGTTTTTGTACAGTTACTTCCCCCAACACAAAGGCCAGTATGACAGAGCCAGGGGCACACAGGGCATTTTGTCTATTGAGGGAAATATTAGCAAAATAATCAGTATCTCGTAGTGGCTGCCATTATCATATCTATATTAAAGTTCTTATATATAGTGAATAATGTATGCACACTGAACTTCAATACCAGTTTGCTTAGTCTTAAGAAATCTCAAGGCCAGGTGTGGTGGTGCACTCGGGAGGCAGAGGCAGGCATATCTGTCAGTTTGAGGCCAGCCCAGTCTACATATTGAGTTCCAGGTTAGCTGGGGCTACAGGGAGACCCTGTCTCAAAAAGATCCACCACCTCCCCAAAAAATCTGCATACCCAGTGCTGTCCAGTGTAGCTATTCTTGAACTTTTGAAACCTAGCTGTGTGAGGATCCATCCTTCCTGTTCACGTGCATTGGCATGTAATCCTCCCTGGAGTCCCACAGGTAAGCTCACACAGGTATTCCATAGGGAATAGAAACACCATCAACCACAGGCTGGCCTTAACCAAGTAAAAAGTGTTTGTTTTAACTCTTGAGGGTTAAATTGAAAGTATGCCATTTTCAGCTGTATGCTTTTAAATCTGAGAAAACAAACTGATGTTGCTTTAAGAAATGACATTCAAATGTTTTGTATTTGATTGGCCTGTACTGGTTCAAGTTCATTACTGGCAGTGGTTGTGAGACTACTATGAATTAAAATGTAGGGAAGACTATGTTATCTTTAAGCTGATGTACACCTAGACAGTCATCTTCAAGCAAAAACATTGTCCTTAAAAAAGGTCCTTTTTCAAAAAAAAAAGTCAAAATGATTAGAATTAAAACCATTCTGAAATTACTCAGAAATCTATTTTACTGTGGCTTAATTTGGTGAAAGGCCTCAGTACAGCGCTTTCATTTTCACCCTGTAAAATCGAAGCCCAAAGACAAATTAATGCTGTATTGAAACCAGTGAGTAAAAACAAGTTTTACCTTTGTAAATTTTTAATCGTTAAATCAGTTGGTAGCTGTAAAAACATGCACCAAATTCTAATGTTCTGTGTGGTCCTTGGTGTGCTATTCTTGACAGTGCTGTCCTTACTGCTTGGTTGTGAATTTAAATAAAACAAGAATCGATGTGGCTTATTATTCCTACTCCAGAGAGGAATAAATGGCTACTGATCTTCAGATGAAAAAAAAATTTTTTTTCTAACGCAAACATTCAATTGAAATAAAAATTAAACTCATAAAAACGAGACTGGCATTTTTCAAGTATTGTCTTTTGCCAAACCCTAACTTGCATAGAAGCATGAGGTATAATGAATGGTTCCAACGGTGCTCTATCAGGTTTCCCGATTTTCCTAAGCTGTGCTCGGAAATACAGTATTGAATACAATGTGGGTTACTTTGTTACCAGATTAATTACTGCCATTTTAATTTGGTCCAATATAATTTGTTACACTTGTTTTTCAAAGTTACCTTTTGAGAAGTCAAGCTGTCTTACTAGCCTGCCTTCATTCAGGCCTCTTGCTGTATTTCTTTTCCAGCCTCTGATGTATACAGCTTCTAAAATCTGTATGTACTATCACAGTGCTCTTTTGCTACACTCTTATATTCAGAACCTAAAATTACAGCAAAAGAGCCAAGCAGTAGCAATGTGGTTGTTTTTTTTTTTTTTTTTTTTTTAAATTTAAAAAAAAT